TTCAATTCTTTGCCTGTTCTAGTTTCTACTGAATTAGCTGCCGCTTGTGTCTTCCCCTCTGGTGCATAATGCTTGATCCTCTCTCTGTTGCGAGTTGGCTGATTTCTCTCTCAAATTTTCTGCTTCTGCATCTGTCTTTTCGTTAGCCTCTCTTTTCTCTTCCCTTTTTCGTCACCTTTTCCTTATTCCATCGCTTAGTCCAGCGAATAAGTAATCTCATCACTCTTACAGGAATTTCTCCTTCCTCTTTTTCAGTTTCCCTTATTCCAGTTTTTTTTTTTTCTTTCTTTCTTTCTTCATTATTATGTGGTAAAGACTCTACAAAGAGTTTATATTTATTCTAATGCTATATATTAACTATTAGATTTGGAGAAGACTGGGTAGTATGTATTGTAATAATATGTTACACAAAAAATATTTCGATTTTATTACTATATAATTAAATTTATTTATTATTACTTTATTCATTTATTTATTTTTGTCGTTGTTACTATAATGTTTAACTCATCGGGACCTAGTTCTAACTAGGGTCAAGCCTGACAATTGCACACAAACACACATATTTAATACACCCCCCCCCCCCACTCCCTACCATGGGCGACGCCGTAAGCAGATGCATCTCTTAACACGGGCATCGAACAGTCCTCGAATTCGCCCCCCCCCCCCCCCCCGCTACAGAGCCCAGGCAATCGCCATATGGTTTCATCACCTACGGACTCCTTCGCCACCTTTGCATTTAAATCGTTCCGAATGACTCCCTTCTCCACCCAAGCCTGTTCTCTCCCGCCAAGTCATGGCAGCGGTGAACAAGGGCGCCCGTTTTATGGGTGATCGTGAACGCTTCTCGTGAACGGAGCGAAAGTATAGTCTTTGGTGTGTAGGCTGTTAGCTATTATGAATGTGGCTCGGGTGGTGTGAGTCCATGTCATGCGGGTCTTATGCGAATGGGGTTTATACACTTGGATGTAGTGATATACATATATGCATGTGTGTGTGTGTGTGTGTGTGTGTGTGTGTGTGTGTGTGTGTGTGTGTGTGTGTGTGTGTGTGTGTGTGTGTGTGTGTGTGAGTGTGTGTGTGTGTGTGTGCGTGCGTACCTGTGAGCGTGTGTGTGCGCGTCTGCCAAGCACGGACACATACACACACAACCACACATAATTATACTTAAAAAAAACAAAAAAAAAAAACATACACATCCAAACACAGAACCGCATCCTTCCCCAAAGACATTTGCGACACCCTCCTCCGCCCACACATACACAAAAAAAAAAAATCCAGTTTCAAACAAGCAAAGTTCGAGGTTTGGAAAATAAGGCTCCCAAAGCTAGAAAGCCAAGAGAAAGCTGGACAAAAGGGAAAAAGAAGTGACAGTGATGAATGGGACGAAGGAGGGACCGGAAATACTGCAGCCAAATGCGAAAGCCGTTCGACCAGGGAGCAAAAGCGTCAGCAAAAAAATCAAACAAACGAAAAGAAGGAAGCAGGAAGGGAAGCAGGGAGAAGGGACGGAAAAGGGAATGGAGATAATAACGGGAAAAAATAATGATAATGTCGTGAAGACGAGGAAGCGATTTCAAAGAGGAAATGACGACCGTGACCGAGGCAGCGGGGAGGGCTTCGGATAAACAGCATTAACGTGGAGGAAGATAAGGCCTTGCGATGAGGGAAATGTGGAGGAAGATAAGGCCTTGCGATGAGGGAAATGTGGAGGAAGATAAGGCCTTGCGATGAGGGAAATGTGGAGGAAGATGAGGCCTTGCGATGAGGGAAATGTGGAGGAAGATAAGGCCTTGCGATGAGGGAAATGTGGAGGAAGATAAGGCTTTGCGAAAGGGATATGTGGAGGAAGATAAGGCCTTGCAATGAGGGAAATGTGGAGGAAGATGAGGCCTTGCGATGAGGGAAATGTGGAGGAAGATGAGGCCTTGTGAGGAAGGAAATGTGGAGGAAGATAAGGCCTTGCAATGAGGGAAATGTGGAGGAAGATAAGGCTTTGCAATGAGGGAAATGTGGAGGAAGATGAGGCCATGCGATAAGGATAAGGTGGAGGGAGAAAAGGTCATGCTATACGATAAAGAGGAGGAAGATAAGATCATGTGATAAGGATGGCGTGGAGGAAGATAGATAAAGCGACAAGGATAATGAGGAGGGAGATAAGGCCACGTAATAAGGAAGAAGTGAAGGAATTAAGTTGAGGTCACGCTATTAGGATTATGTGGAGGAAGATAACACCAGACGATAAAGATGATGTAAAGGAAGGGAGATATGGCCACGATAAGGATAACATTTAGGTAGGAAAATAAGAAAAGGATTATGTGGAAGAAGGAAGAGAAGGCCACGTGGAAAGGATAATTTGAAGGAAGATAAGACCATGTGATATGGATAATGTGAAGGAATGAAGATAATGAAATGCGATAAGGATAAAGAAAAGGAGAATACGACCATGCAATACGATTGAAATATAAAGATAAGGATAAAGAAAAGGAAGATAAGGCCACAC